ATTTTATTTTGTTACTAGCATTACTTATGATAGCGCAACAATTACATTTTTAATAAAGAATTTAAATTACATTATATATCAGGGGTGGCTAGCAAAAAGAGACTTGCTAGCTGCCCAATTTATTAATAAATATGGAAGATCCAAAATAAAAAAAATTCATATATGATTATCGTAAAGAAGATAATTATATATCAATTAAATAATATAATAATAAAAAATGTAATATAATTTAATAATGAGGCGAGTAATTATAACTGTAATTAATGAAATTAATGTATATTTACGATCACTTACGTAATTGATATCAACAGTCAATGGTTAATAACGTTAATATTCAGGTATTGAAGTAAAACATTTTTATTTTGTTTTATAATTACAACGAAAATAACCTAGCAATGTTCAATTTTTATCATTGACCGTAACATATAAATTAATACACGCTTATCATACGAGTATTCCGATGAAAATCGATTCTTAGATGAATTCATTACACTAGATTAAAAACACGGATATTTATTATCAAATTTTAGCCAATACAATAAACACAAACACTTTTTTACACAACGGTATTAAACATTTTCCAGTATATTATTTAGATTCACTTGTAATTCGGTCTTCCGAGGCCGCTATCTTAGAGGCGTAGGTCACAAAGGAGTAGTTGTATTAAACGATAACTGTAAATAGTGATCATTATTGACGTATAGGTATATAGAACCCTGCATTTTCGAAAACCACGAATTACATCGCAATATTGCATCATATACACATATTATGGCATACTTGCAAGCATTAAGCCGGATATCCACGACAACGTGCCGTGTTCCGTTCGTTTGTAATATGTAGATAAACCTACATTGTTACTGGTAGTTTGTAATGTTTTCTATCTACTTACAAACATATCAAAATATTACTGCGTGGACGAATTTTCTTTCGTATCCTTTGATTACCACAAGTTTTGTTTCATTGAAAAGAGCGCTATAATTCTGTATCGAGCCATAAGACAAACAAAAAAAAATAAAACATCGCGTAATAAATACACATTGTGGAAATTGTTTTCCATTATTATTAGTCAAAACTAGTGAAATACAGCTTTCTTGTTTTTACCTACCAACCTATATTTTGTGTACACAACGCGTCTTCCAATTCTCGAGGATATACGAGCCTTAATATATGCATTACCGTATAACATTAACATATAAGAGTATAAGACGCACATCACCATGTCAGTAAGTCACAAGCATCTCCTATATTATTCACAAGGTCCGTGTGATGATTGTTATTCATAAGCTGTTCGCGATAGTCCATTATATTTTATAATTGAAGTTCTGTATCTTATTTATATATTTAAATTTCCAAATATTTTATCAAATATGTATGTATACCAAATACTAGTTTGGTGATGGTAGTAAATTTTTCTGATGGACAAGGTTAAATACTTAAAGAAAGATACATGATGATTTTTAGTGCACGAGTGAACCACATAAAATAGAATTTCATAAATTTTTAATTTAAGCATAAAAAATAACCTCATATTATAATATATGGTAAATAAAAAGCAAACAAGTATCGCTCCGCTGTACTATAATATCGTTGAGTTAATTACTGTAATAGTTGTATTAAAATCTGTAATCGAAAATAAATTGTTGTACGTGGTAATAACAACTTTAAGTATCTATATATTATTAAATTTAATATACATACGTAAAATCAATAATTTTACTATTAATAAAATACTAATATGGTAAACTAAATAATTTTTTACCGAAAACAAAATTTATTATATTATTTATATTATACTATCATTGATATCACATTTTGGGTAAAAGACAGCTTAAAATTAATTTAAATATTTTTAAAATATCATTATCTTGGTAAATAACGTACAATATTTTTAAAAGTTTCAATGAAGTACCTATTCGTAATTTTGAATTATAAAATATTCAAAATTTAAATACCTATAAGGGCTATGAATATAAAAAAACGAATTGTATATCATAAAATAATTTGTAATTTTGGGGATTTTGAGGAATGTTATAATAATTAGAAATTTAAACTTTATAAAAAATATCTTGACTATTTCCAATATCTGATAGATGTATAAAAAACTTATGAACAAAATGTTATTAAATTTAACAGAAAAACAAAAACTTTATCATACATATTAAAACAAAAAAATTCGAAAATTCAAAAATTCAAAATATCTATAATTAGCACAAAATTATTTTGAAAATCATTTCAAGTTTAGTAAATGATAATGATACTCACTAAAAATTGTAATTCTCTGTATATATAATTATTCATTTTTAGTTACAACAAAAAACAAAATCAATTTATCAAAAACTGATTTTATGTAGAAAGTTAGTTTTCCTTTAATTTTTTTTTTTTGATCTCCTAAGAACTAACTTAATCCAATTAGACTATATACGGGATACAACACTTGATTAGGATATACCTACACTTAATGTAAATTTTAATAAATGCTACGTCGTCGCTAAAAGTGCTTATAAAATAGTCTGAGGACGCTTAGGTATTGATTGTTTCTAAGTAAACACCTCAAAATTATAAAAATGTATGATACTTATAAATTGGAGAAAAAAAACATGGTGTTCTTTTAGAAATCAGTAAGATTAATAAAATGCCAGTGTTTTAAGTTTTATTAATCGTTAATTTGTCTGTTGGTAGAATTTTAGTAATGTTGTATGTAAATGTGTTAGTAGGTAATAAAAATAAATTATGTAGATAGTGAACAGTAATTAGTTAACAGTAATTAATTCTGTTAGTATTTTACTCAAGTTATTCCGTTTCATTTTGGAAATTTAGAGCTTAAAATAGTTTGTAGAAAACCATATTATTCTAACGTAATAAAATGTTAATAAAACTATTATGTCATTTGAACGGTCAGAATGCCTTGCCAAGAAATTACACGTTTTCGTTTTTATCTTTAGTTATTAAAAATGGAGAGTCTACAGTCTATTGTCAAGTTTTTTAGACTCAAACTATACATATACTAGAATCTAGAGTTCAACTTCATCTGTGTTCTACCAATGTTTATTGACAGATACTGAAAAAAATAAATGTCAATGTGCTTATTGCAGTTTATCGAAAAAAGAAGATATTTATTCTATACTAATCACGATGGTCAACAGACATTAGGAATTCTTAGTGCATTTTTTAAGGATTGCAACGCTACAGTTTATTATTTTTATTACGGCGATGACCTTGTAAGTTGCGATGCAATGCTTGAATGCCTCATACATGTCCTGTTTTCACTTAAACAATCAATATATTTTTTTTACTTTCTGTAATTTAATAATGTATAATATCATATATATATTTTTACATAACATATATTTATGTAACTTTAATTAATTTGAGATGCATAATTTTTAATAAGTAAAGTTATTTAATTTAAATAATACATAATTAATAAATAATAATAATTATACTTAATAAATAACAATTATTAAAGCATTGCATAAATCAAGTGTATAATATGAATAGATAAAATATTGATTTAAAAGTTATCTGTAATTAACAATTTGTAGCTATGAATTGACAATGCATCATTTATAGCTCATATTATTATAGTACTTAATACTAGCGTCTAGCATTATATTATTATAATACGTAAAAATATCAAACAATTTATTTTAACAAATAAATCAGTGGTGTTCAAAGAATTTTTATTATAACTACTTTTGTCTTTTTGTGACACATTGATGGCTCCTAAATCAATAATTATAATGAAAAACAATGTTAATATGTGTAAAATATAATGTTGGAGTGTTAATAATGTATATTATTTATTAATCATCTGCACGCCGCTGATAACACAATTTTTCCTAATAATTCTCATTCTCAATATCGTAACACCAAATTTGCAATTGTCATTATTATATTAATTCGTTTTCATCACCTGTGCCACGACTACCTTGACTAAAACTCACAATTTTCCTTAGAGCTGCAACAAATAGTTTGAATACCTTTGAATTATATTTTTCCATATAGTCAGACGATTTACTACCCTTATTCGATAATACTAGTCACACTTTACTTTGGTACGTTACTTTTAACATATTTATAAGAAAATTCTACAGAGTTTACATTGATTCAAAAACCATAAATAAATTGGGGTTGAAAATAATATATACTTATTAGTTATTTTATTGATAAAATACATTTTGACATAATCGATAATTCAATGGTAGGTATACCCATCTGAACACTACAATTTAAAATCTTTACAGGTATTTAGCAATGCATTATTATTTTATCGTACGGTTATTATTATGAAATCAACGACAAATATCAATATCACTGTCACTATTAATGCCATGTCGACGCATCGAATTCATATTTATAATTGTATTATTATGCTCTAGTGTTTTTCACGTAGCATAGTAGCATATAGAATAGGGGTCGGGAACTTTTTCGTAGAAAAGAGCAATTTTTCAAAAAATAACAAAACTATGATATCCAGGGAGCCGCACAGGTTTAATCAACCTTTTTTTGGTAGGCAATAAAAACATAATAATGCGTCTTAAATTTAGAAAATATAGAAAAAATGTATTTTATTAATTCATTATTATTATTATTGTTTATACAAATATAATATTATTTAATTAAACACAAAAAAACGTATCTACATAATATTAGTGGGATTTTCGACACTGAATTATCCAAAGAGCCGCAGGTTGCATGTTAAAGAGCCGCATGCGGCTCTGGAGTCGCAGGTTCCTGACCCCTGATATAGAAATAATAAGTAATAACCTACCACAATAACGTATGGATGTTCGAAAAATGCTGTTGAAGGTACCTACACAACTATAATGTACGAAATCATTATTGTGTTATCAGATCGTTCATCGGTGATTACAATTTATTGTTTTGGCATCATCATTCCTCGACGACGGTGTCGTAATTTACAACCGTCGGTGGTGCGCAGAGAATAACAATCGGGCGTTGGATGATCGAACTGACCGTATATAAAGGACTGGCAGACCGATAGTGGTCATCAGTCAATCAACGGTCGTACACATCGTTCGTCGATAAACCCTCAAGACAGCAACAGAACAGTCAAATACAAATTCAAAATGCAATTTCAAGTACGTATATTATATATATATATATATACATTTTATATTAAAGTCGTACATGACTATCGTTATAACTTAAGACTTTCGAACTGTTAATGTCGTCGTTGTTGACTAATATTGTACTTACATATTATATTTTAGTTAAATAATACGTTTTGTGTGCGTGTGATTATTTTTATTTTTTTTTCGTTACCAATTATATCGTTTTAAGTAGTTTCAAATTTTTCCCGTTATCACTTTGTTTGCTTCCTCGACAACTGTTTTTCTAATTAATATATTCTTGAAATAAATCACGATTTCGGTTAATTTTTTCCGTATATTAAAAACAATAGAAACCAGAAATTATAGTATTTTTGTAGTTTAGTTGAATTCAAAATAAAAATTTTTACTGCGTCTCTCAAATGTCCGAAAAAGCCGAAACCAAATAGCCGATTTTGTTTTTATTTTAAAATCTTGATTTGTATTTTCTAATCTTTTATCCGTATAATAAAATAGATGGGCAAGTTTAAACGGTATTACGGTAAGCTGGCTAGTAGAAAAGTGTAATTTAATAATCTGGCATGTGAAAGGGAATACGATGGATCGTCCCCTTTCATACTATATTTTTTTATCATTTTTCAATTGTTATTGATAAATCTATAAAAACGTGTGATGATCTTATTAGTCTCTAACATTACCCACAACACTTAATATTTTATACGTTTATAGTCTTCTCTTCTCATCAAAACATCTAGTGGTTAACTTCATATATTCATATTTCATGTTTGATACTATACCTATCGTTATACAAGTCTCATTTTGGCTAAGACGCTTTTCAGTAGGCACAGTGCATGTAAGTCAGTCCGTGCTAAGTCACGATTTGAGTAACAACGTTTCTTACGGTTAGATTTAAGGTTTTATGCGATCGTTAAAACACTGTCACACAATATATTGTTCCAGGTATCTTTCGCTCTGATCGCCATGATGGTGTGCTTCGTCGCCGCAGCCGAAGAAGCCAAATCAGCGTCCGCCAAATCCGTAGCAGCCAAGTCCGCCACTGACCGAAGCAAGCGCGGCCTATACGCTCCGTTCGTCGCCTCTCCGTACGCCCCAGCATACGCAGCACCGTACGCAGCGCCATACGCCGCCCCTTACGCCGCCCCATACGCCGCACCTTATGTCGCACCTTATGCAGCACCGTACGCTGCGCCATACGTAGCATCCCCGTACGCAGTCGCTCCGTACACTTCTTCTTACGTATCATCCTACGGAGCTTACCCGTACGGTTATGCTTCGCCATACGGTTTCTACTAACCGAGGACTTCGGGATCGACGTATTATTCTTACTGTTAGGTATATACCTATGTTATACCAGGTATAAACCGCAACGCCACAACACGTAAATATGATAAAATATGATTTTGTGATCGAAAAAAAATTTAAAATATGTAATGAACAAATACAATATTATGTTAAGCAGTCCTCTGTGCCTATATACTTAATATAGGTACTTATTTTCTTGTAGTTATATTATTATGTAAATAAATATAATACCTATCTTAAAATTATACAATTCTTGTTTTGTTTCATAAATGAAATTCAAACGAATTTGTTTTACACTTTTACTATAAAGTTATTGTTGATCGGTGGTTATTGTTGATTACTAGTTACGACACTACGTCCACTCGTAGAACTCTGCAGTGTTTACTGTTAATGAAAATGTTGAGCCGCTGTTAAAATTGACTTTAATGTTTAAATATTAAAATTATAGGTACTGTTCTGATTAAGTCTTTAAAATGACAAAAAGAATTCTTGAACTTTAAATCAATTTTTCTATATTGCTCTGTCATTATTCATGTTTACTATACTCCTGACAGTCCTAACTATAGACGGTAGTAACTACACCCAAAGAAACGTGTATTCAGCTACTGTACTTTTCTCTACCCGAATGTTCGATGTTTTAATAATCAATGCATTTATCACCTATATTGTATAACTAAATTGAAATACATTATTTTTAACTGTCGATGTAAAACCGACGAATAGTCATGGTATTTGACAAAACAATTATTTGTGAAAAATAAGATGATGAATCAATAAGAAATAACAAATGATATTCAATTATATGCAGCTCATAGACATATACGCATGATGACATACAACACTATCATATTATATTGGTTTGTAATTTGTATGATATCAGGTATTCTAAAGATTTATCTTGTCTGTGTATTGAATTTATTGATTTTTATACTTACACACTTCTATTAACTTAAGTCACCTAACTTAAATTATTAAGTCATACGATTGAATTGAATTTTTACCCATTGTATACGTTTTTATAACTTTGTATTTTACTAAAATCGTAGCATAATACTATTTTTTCTAATGATTTATTAAATGTTATAAATTTTGGCAATCACGATAGTTAAACTGAATTTTAATAGTACCAAAAAAAAATTATTGTACCGTTTGAATTATCTTTTTAATGCAGTTTTTATTTTTATGTTCCAAATATGCATTTGAAAAAAAAAACAATTTGTGGATGATGAAAGTAATAAATTAAAACTAATTAATTAATTATGATATTATAAATATAATTTATTTTTATAATAATTAATAAATACTTTAATGTAATATTAGTTATGAATCAAATGCACAGATTAAACATTCAATTATAAAATACTATACAAACAATAAACATTGATAAATATTTTTAAGCCACTAAATCCCACCACGTATTTATTAGTGTGTTTAATGAAAAAAACAAGATAAAACATTTGAGAACTATTCTAATTTTATTTTAAATATTTTAAAATTTTTTATATTTTTTAAGTATTAAACACTTGCATAGTGCATATTGTACGTGAAACGTATTTGTTTCAAGACATTTAATAAATCTTTTACGAAAGAATGTTATATGCACATACATTTTTGATTATACTTTAACTATAAAATTATACATTTATAACACTGTTTTCAAGAATTTGTTTGATTTTAGTTGAAATAACTTTTCGTATAAATTTGTTTTGATGTTTGGAGTTTTGTGATGACAAGAATAAAGCATATTCAAAAATGATTTGATCTTCTGACGTTTCTAGTAACTTAGTAGGTATGTCAATTATTTTGGATATGCCTAATAATACTACCAGGTTTTATTATAAAATAATATTTATTTTTATTTTTTTTAATACAATATAATAAATAACAATAACTATATTTTCTTATGTCATCAAAAATAAATCAATATTTTTTGATGTGTTGTGTATAACGCTGATAGCTGGTGGGTTGATCCTTGAATGACTACCTAAAACTAGGTTATAACTATAATGTAAATAGAATAACTCATTATAATAATGACTTTTGACATGTTTAGATAATTTTTATTTTAGTACAATTTAATCCTTCGTATTTTTGTTAATTCCATATTTGAAATATAAAATAAAATAAATGTTTGCAAAATAAATGTAATTTGTTTACATTCGGTAAAATTAAAATAATAATTATTATTATTGAAATAGAAGTCCCAAGTAAAATAAATAATCTAAAAAAAGGTTCATCATACTTTTATTTTAACACTTACGATAACTAGTAAATAAAATAAATGTATAGAAACACTAGAAACATTTTTTTTTATATATATGTACTTTTGTTTATAATTTTCATTTTTGGTAAAAACGATTGTTTAAAAATTAAATCTAGTACTTTACTTAATATGCTTTAATATGCTGTAAGAGTATGTGGTTGTATTTTTACAAATAATTACATCAACTAATGAATATAATTGTAATAAAACTTTGAAAACGGTAAAGGAGGTAACCCTAAAAAAGTAGGTCAGCATGAATATTTTCAATTGACGTAATAAAATTAGCACTACCTTAAATAGGGTAAGAATGGTTAAAAATCTAATCAAAATGCATTTAGGTCAATTCTTGATTACTATGTTAGAATAGTTGCATGACTAGTAGAATTTAAACACCATATGGTACTTTAAAAAGTCCTATGGTATACATTATACACTATTTCGTTAACTTGGGTCCTCACCAAAAAAAAAAAAAAAAAATGGTTTTATTGTTACGCATAGGTTTTAGTTACTAAATATAATAATAATATATCTAACACAGTATAAATTAGTTTATGTAATTTTATAAAATACAATAGGGATAAACTTTCGGTGATTTGAGTTTAAATATCGCTTAGATTTTTTAATGATCAAAATAAAATAATATAAAGTTTCTTAAAAAATAATGTATAATTGTAAAAAATTAACTATTTTTTAACCGAGACCTTATACTTTTCCATACACTTTTGAATTTACTGGAATATTTAAATATTCTCTAAGAGTGGCGCTAAAGTTTTAATTATATTATCGTTGCCTGTTAGATTATCTCTATAATAAATCAAATGTAATACCTGCAATTAATATACTACATCATAAGGCTTAGACCAATAGTATTTTATTAAATACTTGCACTTAAAAGTTAAAATGTTTTAGTTATGTATACCTGTTTAAATAAATAAAAAGTAAGCTTATTTATTAAAATAATAATTGAGTTTTGTTGGTGCCTAGCATACAAAAGTTTTGTTTTATAATATTTTACTTTTGTTTGCTTAAAGAAATGATTATAATAAAACTAGGAATTTTTAAAGTAAAGTTGGTAAATTATAAAAAAATAACGTGAATAATAGTTGATAAAAACAGTAACTAACGATTTTAAAATTAATATACTATAATATTTTGATTTTTATTTATAGCCAATAAGTAATATTTATAATAATAATATTGCGATGATAATTATATTATTATTATTTATTACAGTTGTTCTTGTTGTTCACAAATTTTAAGTATTTACTATAATAATCAGGACTTGGATTTTATTGCGTTTACTAATTATTATAGTATATAGATAAAAAAAAAAAAGGCAAATTGAGCTATAAATTTGTTTTAGCACTTGGAACTCCAAACATGAAATTTTATACTGCCATTTTTTGTATATTTGAAGTATTTTTAATTTTTATTACTATTTTTCAAGTTTTGAAAGTAATTACAAGATGGGAATCGTGGATTAACGCGGCCGTTTAATATCGCGAAAATTTAAACACTGTTCTCCGTTCAATGATGATGATGGAATGAGTGTGAAAAATAAAACAAAAATACACTATCAAACATAGTCTTGAAAGCAATTTAGCGCATATAAAATCAAACTTAACAGTTCTTGTAGGAGAAATAAATAAACTACAAACAAAAGGCCTTTTTTTTAATAACTGTGTTAAAATAATTGAGGTTATCTAAAAATCGTTCAAATTATTACGGAGTAAAGCTGATGGTATGATTACGAAAAAAAAAAATTCAATTGTATTTGAAATAACAACTACTTATTAACATTAAAACACATCTCCAAAATATTGTCTAGTAATAGGTGAAGAAAAAAAATAATGAATTAAATAGAGATCTTGAAGAGTTGTCTAGTGACGATGTAGTTAGTATTTTTTAAATACTCGCCTATCACATTGGAAGATAATGAACATTCCTTCTCGAGATACAAGACATTGTTAACTAACAACCATCAAAGTGTCAAATTTTAAAATTTGGTAAAACATTTAATCATACTATGTGACTTTGGTAAAATAATCAAATATATTATTTAATCGATAAATAAAAATTACTTGAATTTTATTCTTGTTTCTAAAAAATTTTGAATAGTTGTATTTAAGTAATTCAAGTAATTTAAAAAAAGATGTAAACTAATTTTAGTTGTTTAAAAATTATAATTTATAAATGTATTAATATTATTAATTCATAAATAATTATATGATAAATATAACTTTTTTTTTTTTTAAATTGAGAATCAAAATACATTTTTAATTTCGCTATTTTTCGTGTTTTAGAGCATACTATAATTCATAGGACTTATTTAAAATAGATTGTATTATAGCACGTATTTCAATTATTTTCAGTGCTGTGAAATCTGAGCTTTAACAATAGATGGTTATCATAGTAGGTGGTTATCATTGTAATTAGAATTTAGTTGTTTATTTTTAACTAAAGTCATTGAAAATCAAAGTTAAAAATAAATTTTTTTTTAATTATACATTAGTAGAAATTCAAAATAAGTGTGAATTACTTATAATATTTTCATAATACGTATTTTTAATTATTCATAAATTAATTTGTTTTCAAAAATAAATATTGGAAGAATTATATTATATTTTAATGATATCATAAAAAGTTTATTTATAATAATAAAATAGTATTATTATAATTTTAACATTAAGTTTTGTAATAATAATTATAATACAATTTAATTGAGTTATTTACGATAAATATTGAAACGTGCAATCCTTAATAAATATTAAACAAAATTTAGCACATGCCTAGTATTAGCTTACCTTTAACAAGATGAGGATATATAATTTGTGTATAACAAGTGTATCATAATTCATGATATTATAATATATTTATACCTAAGTGACAATACGGACCCCTCAATTATAGAATTATGATAGCATTTTACATGGTAAAAATTACTGTATATTTTACTATATATCAATAATATGTCACTGTCAAACGCAAATTATAACTCAACCAAAATTATATTTAACGTGCGTTGAATTTATTTATCTTTACTATAATAGCATCAAATCATTTAGTCGTTAATATTTAATGGTTGAAAAATTGTTGGTTGGAATTTGAATTGTTTTTGTATGTATATTTATTTTTTTTGTTATACACAAATATTTATTATACCTATAGCTATCTAGTTAATGTACGTATAGTATGTATTTTATTGATTTGAATTTGTTCATATTTCCATAACTTATTTAAAAAATTAGAACTGCTATTTTGCGTTATGAATATTTTTGAATAAAAGAATAATCTTTTTTTTATTTCTTTTAAAATATATCGATAAACGATATTAATTTCAGCATATTATTAAAAGAATTCATGCCCTCCGGGTAACTATTCTTCACAGCAAGTGAAATGATTGATACTCGAACCTAATAAGGCCATAATACATCAATTGTAAATCTTACAATAAAAGATTATATACCTGCAAGCTATTTAATAACGGTAATCCTGCTTATATTAGGTACCTACAATATTTGTTCAACTTCACGTCTATCAAATATTATCGTGTTTCCAAATGGCTAATACCTATTATATAAGAAAAATGGGCATATGTAAGTATATGGTTTTATTGTAAATTTTTTCATAAATATAATGAAATAAGTTATAGCAGGCACGTATCAATCCACCCTCGAATTTTTTAAAAATTAAGAATTAAATGTTTTGTGTATCAATTACGTAAAAAATTAAATAAAAACTATATAAGAAATTATTTAGACCTCCCCCCCCTGTTCAAAAATAAAATCAGGTTACATGCCTGAGTAATAGAAATCAAAATAAATAACTCAAAAGTTAAAGACACATAAAGAAGTTAGAAATATTATGTTATTTTAAATCTTTCACATTTAATTGAATGCAAAGCTTATCAGATATTTAAATAATTTAAATGTGTATATTGATAACTATTTTTTGAAGTATTCAAAAAAAAGAGAACTCATTCATCACATTTGTGCTCTTCAAAATAATTTATAATATTAACATTGTTTTTTTTTTCAATTATTATACTTAATAATTTCTATATTTTTACCTGGTATACTTAATTTAAGAGAAAAAGTGATATAAAATAATGCAACCAAAATAAATTTAAATTCATTAAAATTATAATGAATTTATAAATATTAAATTAAATAATTATTAATAATTATGCTATTTTTATTCCGATAGGGATATGATTTAATATATAAGCTATGCAAATACTAAATAGTGTCCAATTAAATATCATCTCGTAAACATTATGTCCCGGATCATAATTTAATATTTTTATAATAATTAAACGATTAAATAACTTACCTTGGAATCAACCACGTATAAGCTTCTACCCGTTTCATTTGTTGATAATGGTCTAATTCTCACAGCTACCTGAAAACAGTATATTAACTTTGAATTTTAAAAATACATAAACTTATTTTTTTAATCATCATAATACGTGACTACGAGTTATAGACGTTGTAGTATGTTGAAATGTTATGTGGGAAGTAAAAGAGTGGAAAATTTTCTTTCATCAGATGATTTAAATGGACGAAATAAATAAAATCATCAAGAGCTAGAATTTTAAAAATATATCGAAGGCATAATTTATTTTACCGCATACACTGAATATGTTAAAAAACTGGTCGTAAAATTAGAATTTAAAACGTAATTTATTCATATTACTCGTATAATAATTATTTATTTGCTACTAAAATATAGATATACGTGTGCTATAATATAATTATACATGTGCCTAAATTTTACAGAATTGCATATTATGTATTATATATTTAAAAATAATTGATATCGTATGGTATAATATTTATCAGATCATAAAAATTAATACATATTATTATTCATTATTTAGTGTATTCCCTATTTACTAATTAATCATTTAAACTATTATTTTAATGAAAAATATAATGTATTGCTGATTTTAAATTCTATATTTTACTATATTATTTAATTATCAATATAATTATTGAACGGCTATTAAAAACGTATGTGGTTACTGGTATATATTTAATATGTGTGTCATGTGTGTGTGATTAAAAGTTTGAAATGTTATTTATTTATTATTTTTTAGAGTTTATATTGTTAGTCACTATCAGTATCAATTAGTACCTGCTAAATTGATCACTATTCACTATAATAGGTAGTACATATCTATACATATTTTTTTCTTTTTTATACATATATTAATGTGGTATAACATTTACCTAATCTATAGCATCTTATGTCATCAAGAAACTTTTCTTTTTCTTTTTTTTTATGAACAGGTATTAAATTTAGTTGGAATTTAAGTTTTTGATCTTGTTTAGATTATACACTGTAATAATTTTATAATAGGTACCTAGGTATAAAAGGTACATTAATTTATATATCATGTTCATTTGTGTTGCTCCACACAATTTATAAACACGTAGTTAAAATAAAAATAAAAATAAAAATGTTATAATTTTTAACTTCGAGTGTGCATTAAATGTTTAAACAAAATACATTTGTTGAAAAAATCAGTGACAGTGATTTTTTTTCTATTTAAAACACTACGTTCAAAAACCTAAATTTAAGCAGACTGTATTTGAAACGTTATGTAGTGATCTAGTAAATGTGCATTCAGTAAATCCCAAATAAAAATTATTCTCTCTCTCCATTCGGAATTATTATTATGAAGACACACACACACACACACACGTATATATACAGTTGTCCTCGTAATTCATATTTTGATCGCAAAAGGATAATAGCAATGGCAATTGTTTCTTTTTAATTTAATCTATGTAAAACTTCAATTGTGATCTTATTGTAATTTGCTCGTATACTAATATTTCATTGTTGGCGTAATATCTTACACAGAAATAAGTCCTAAAGCTTACATGTTATAGAAAAATGTAATTTTGTGGTATAGATAATTTTGACGTCGCATATAAAATGTCGCAGGAATCAAATTAAATGCAGTCGAATTGTATGGGAACCAATTTGAACGAATATTCGTTTATAAATCCATCACATATATAATTCATGACTTATAACAAGATCGCCGCCTCAACACAAAATGTAAAGTTTGAGAAAAATAAATTTGAAGTTTTAGTTACAATAGATATTACAATGAGTTTTTTAGTACCGTATTTAAAATTAAAAGTTGAAATAGGTACTTATAATTAATATAACATACTTTACAATAAAACATTTTAAAATATTAAGAAAACTCTATAAAACCAAATAATTCAAACATCTGATGTTTTTGAAGTAAATATAGAACTGTTTTATTAACTAATTATTTTAAGACATATATAAACATATAGCTGTATCTCCTACACGTATTGCATCTGAAAACACCATAAGTAAATTCAACGTATTCAAATATTGAATTATGGTAGTTGTGATATTGAATTAATTCTATATATTACACTGTAATATAAACAAATTATGATATACAGTACCTCCATAACTTTAAACTTTTCTATTTGGCATTCAACACCACATTGTACAAAAAATAGTTTTTATTCAACACGGAAATGCGATTAATATGCAGTTTAATAGTGTATTATTTATCGTATCATACTATAAATTAAAATATGTAAGAATTCTTGTATTTTGACTTCTATACAACTATATTAGAGTAAATTAATGATGTAATACCACCACAAAGTACAAGTTTTATGGTTCTTACGCTATTTGAAAATTATTTAATAATTAAAAAATTCTAAATATTCAATCAAATACATAATTTCGATGACCAAACGTAAGTAATTTTTTATAAATTGCTTATTCTTGTATTATTTTAGAGCTCGTTTTAAACTACCCCCAAATATCTCAGTATCCATAAATATCTGGAAATGTAGATGTATTTATTTATTTTTTTTTTTTTTAACTTTATTTTAAAACATACAATCTGTAATTTAAATTTATAATAAGCATGTATGCGAATATACATTAATTTGACATGCGACGCGTGAAAAAAGAAGCCACCCAATAGCAACACTTTATAACAAAAGTTAGTTTAATTTATAGTTTTTTTTATTTGTATTATTATTATTATTACCTATAATTTTTTTTTCCTCTTTATTAATTTTGGTTTAGATCACGACACCATCTTCTCTTTAATCTACGCGGAGAATTGCCAGGAATGGTGTCAGAGTTTAGTGCTGATATTAAGGGATTAGGATGGTTGGTTAGTCGTAAACGAAATCGTTTATATAGTAGCCTTGTAGTTTCATCTACTGTGTTAACTCTTAGGTTGGTATGTAGAGTGTGATTTAAAACATAGAATGGATCATTTGTAATTATGCGAAGAGTTATGGACTGAAAGGTTTGAATTTTGTTTATATTGGATTTTTTGGCAGCTCCCAGACGTATTTATGAATTTATTAATAACATCGGTTGTCTTGTTCTATAGGCGTTTAATAATATTTTATAGGTAGATAGGTTCGACCGCAACTAACTAACGGCTATGTGTCGAGTTCTACGAACAACAATTATTGGCATTACCATGAGTTTTTCTTCGACGGCCGTCGACTCCTCCTGCCGGAATTCCGGCGCGGAAGACACCGTGAACGGCGAGCCGTTGAGGTTCTGCATCTGCACCGTGGACGGTGACATGACTTAACGTTATAGGTACGCGTCCTACATATTGACGCAATCGGTGTATTATATCGAAAGCGATCGCAAATATCACATAATATAAACTTATAATATTATTATGTTACAACGGCGAGACGCGTATAATACTGCAGTTGCGCCACGTGGCGACGGTTCGCGGAAAAATCGCGATGACAACCCCCCTTCATGACGGCGTCATCGATGCTCGTTCAAATATGATAAAAATTTATGACAACAACTGCGACACTATCAGAACGATGTTGTAATAATAAAAATATATTTATGATGGTTGCACGCTTAGCATTTGTAGTGTATGGCGCGGCGGCGTCGGTGTCCGAACTACTAACGGACAGTAATTTACACGAAAAGTCGTGAAGGTTTTTCGCCTTGCGCCGTGGTAGCCACTAGCAACTGGACGATACATACAAATCGCGTCACCTATGTTTGTGTGTATATATATATATAAGTATTATTATTGTCATTATTATAAGATATATATGTATATATGTACGTCTTGCGATATTGCGACGTACGTTATTGTTTCAAATCGGACATGAAAAACTCTCCCACGCACACACAAACCTTTTCATATAATTAACTAATTTTAAGCTTAAAAACAAAAATGAATGTACCACATGTTCTGCTGAAAAACGCACGATTTGTGGTTTTTAAAAAATGTTCATTTAAATTTATTTTTTTTAGTTCATGAAAATTAAAAACATGTTATATCCTTTGTAAACGAGAAAATCGTATGCGTGTGTATGATAATAATTTATTACTTTAACTATTAATTATTGTTATGTAACTTAAAAAAATAATTGTTTTATACCATTTATCATTGAACCCTTAAATATTCATTTTGTTAAGAGTTGTCGATTGTAGATTACAAAATATTTATACATTAAAATATATGTATAATTCACTGCGGAGTCACTCTGGAATTAAAACAGCATATATCTACCGTTGAATTTTTGTACTATACAAAATACGTACATGGGAACATAATATGTTTGCAGTTAGTCTTTGTAATAATCTATTGCGGTGTAGCATAATATTATATGATATTATCATTTAACATTTTCATTCATACATATGTGTCTAAAACATAAAAATGATACAATAAATTGTATAATCATTACCTATTCGAAATGTACTACTGAAATTAAAATTAATTTAAAATTTAACTCAGTAATTATGATACAAACATGTAATGTGTATAAAAACTAAAAAGTGTAGTACGAAACTGCGATTTAAAAATATTATTATTTAATTTCAATAAACATCATTAAATAAGTTAAAAGAAGGAAAATATTTCAAAGACAGCCTTTTGTTATGAAAGTGTTACATTGTTTTATTATTATATTATATTTTTATTTTATTTTTTATTCATGACAATTGACAACAATATCGTTCGTATTATTCAATCGAGTTCGTTCAACTTGGTTCGTATTTTCTGTCACACCACGCTTATATTATTTATTATTAGTTATTTTGCATTACATATTTATATCGGTTCATCGCTCCTTTTAAACAATAATAACACTCAAAAGAAAAGAATGGGCATAAAAAAATGTATTTCATTCTTCAGCTTTGAGGATGGTTCAGGTAAAAAATTCAATCTAATTGGTATTTTATTGGAAATTTCTAGTTTTCAGTACAATAGTTTTCTTTGATACCCGTTACAAAATATTATAGCAAATTAACACTAAAGCCTTTAAATATGTAAACATAGAACAAACATCAAAATCATATTATAATCTACCTAATGAAATATTTGTTATAAATGTTATGTTAGTTGATGGTAATATTTTATTGATATCTAAAATGTTAACCTACTTACGATTAGGCTTACTTGTCAAGAGAACCCTACTCAAGGGTTTGTGGTTTTAGCCTATATTATATTTCAATATTCGCAACAAACAACCCGTAGTTATTCTATTCTCATACTTTAGTTAGGTACCTATTATACATAGTCAATAATAAAATAAATTATATGCAAAACGTTTTTATTTTACGTTAGATTATTTTCATGTGGTTGAGTAGGTAGTTCTTTAGATTCTTGCAACTTGTTTTGAATATATACCAACTAAGTAGTTACTTATGAAACTGTAGATATTATTAGTAGTTAGAACTAGGTATTAAAAAAAAAAAATGTAACAACTTGCATATATTTGTTCGCATAATAATAATTATTATTAGCATGACAAGTTATTCCGGTTTCAACGGTAAATGTCTGTTATTCCAATCAAAAATTTAAAAACAATCTCAATTTTTACAATATTTATAAACTAATTTTAAGATAGTGTAACAACTTAAATAACTACCAATTTTATTAACATATTTTTTTCTGACAAATATAAATCAATGATTTATAATAGAAAATATAAATACAGAATTTGGAAAACAAATTTATCTTTATTCTTAATTACTATTTTTTCTCAATGATTTACTGATTATTGATATTTTCTATAATATAACTTTACTATTAATTTGATGATTTTGTTTTATTAAGAATACAATTTTTTTTATCTACTATTGGATTTTAACCCTTGGCCCTACTTGTATTATTTATAATTCAGTACCTGCTATGGATTTCTAAAAACTACAATATCAATTTTCTTAGTATTTTGTTGTGTTAAATATTTTAATGTTTTTATGCTTAATAGGTACATTGTCAAAAGTGAAAATTAATTTATTAACTTATTAATCACATAAATTTCTTTTGTAGAGGGTCATTTTTGATAAAATTAGAACAAATTCAAAATACTACTTACGACATAATATTTTATTCCAAAAAAAAAAATCGTGTAAACACAGCACTACAGCAGTATAAACTACAGCTATACTTATTTACACGTCAATAAAATAATATGACATATTATCAAGGATATCTAAGCATTATATTAAATAAATAAGTATAATTTAATAATTATATTACTATATTTTCTCAGATCAGGGGCGTACCTAAGAATTTTTTAAAGGTTCAAAAGTATAATACAAATTATGTCATTAAAAAAAAAAAAAAAACTAACATTTTGATTCATAAACTTTTTTATTGATAAAAGAAATAAATATAAAATAAGTATAAGTACGATTAAAATTAAATAATGTGTAAGAGTGTAATAAGAATTTTATATCCTGTCAATCAATTGGGGTGGGGGCCCGGGTTTAGATCGCCCCGTTGGGTACGCCCCTGTCTTAGATGATAATATTTCTTAACATAAAATTATCTCTTAAACATTTTTTTTTAATAATTTTTAGAAGTAGAAAATAAATAATAACAAAAAAAAAATACGACGTAAGCACACATATTAGTTCCCGATAAGAAAATAATAAGTAAGTATTTATCGTTCAAATTGCGAAAACGACGTATTACTAACATTATCCGTTGTTTTGCGGTTATTAGGTTTAAATCAGCAGACCTGCGATATATTATACATATCGTGATATTCTATTGTTATATTTTACCGCAACGGGTGTTAATATCATGACTATTTTAATTATTGACGACAGAACGCTCATTGTTGTTATTGCGGTGTTGGGGTGACCGCGAAAAGTTTAAAAAGCATTTCGAGCAAAACATTAAACACAATATAGGACCAACAATTCTCACATAGTATAAATAAGTATTGAGATGCGTAATTATCTATAGAACGGCGGTTAACAGTCGCCGATGCAACAAGCGAAAAATTCTACTTGGGCGTTGACGCGTAGTCGCGTCGCGGGTATAGCGAGCAATGCGGACAAAATACGGCGGCGTGTCTGCAGCTGCGGATCGGCGAAGAAAAAATATGAAAAATACGCGTAGTCTCCACAACCTTCCACGGGCTCAAGGTTAATGTCTCGGAGTCTCCACCCAAAAACCGGTTTCGTCGGCAACGCGCGAGCATTGTCCGCCCGCAGAGCTTTTATACGTAACACACAATATAATAATAGTAATAACGACATGTGAAAAGGAGTCAAACGAAAAAAATAAAATTACAACGAGATGGATAAAAATGTGATCACAGTGCGCGCGGATACCTCGTACGACACAATATTATCATTATTATTATTATTATTATTATTATTATTATGTAGCTCGGTGTATACGATTTATATGTTATACATCGTACATAATATAATATTATTTGTACACATTACCATACGTGTAGGATATTCGCAGAGGATCTATATATCATGATGTTGTACACACGATATGTGATATACCTACGTATTAAAATATTAGGTTCATATATAGTGACACGCCGGTCGTTCAACCGACATCCGTCCCGGGGAAGTCTGCTGCAGGTGTTTTGTACCGAATTTGGTGCCTGTACTTAATTAAGGTTAAAGCACTACAATACCGCTGCGTATAACCGGGTCCTATCTCCGCGGGAAATCTTGCTGCTCCTCCGGAGGTCCGCGCGGGATTCCGTCTATCCCGCCAGATGTCTCTCTATCGGTGGAAAATGTAGGTACATCTATTCTGCCTGCAGATAGCTTAAAAACAATACCAAACGAGGCCCCGACGTTTTGAAATCGTAAGTTTAATGGAAAATGCAGTATAGAAAAAACATTGGTTTTCTTACAACATTTACATTTGTTTTCAATCACTTGAATTAAATTAAAGAGTGATCAGGACGGCGACGGGTAAAAATTGATGAATTTTGAAATCGATAGATTATTTTAAAACCACCTGTACCGGATTCTGGCGAAATGGGTACTGGTAGAATCGATTCTATACTGGCCTAATCGACGAATCGCGTTTTCCGTGCAACATATTCTAAAAAAAACTGACAAAGAGGACCAAAAATATAAAATTAAGGATGTGATGAGATACTGTGCGACAGAGATGGTTCTTATCATTTCTACCGTTGTTTCCATATCGCCCTCACAAACCGCAACACAATATTGGAGTCTGGCCAAATTGGCGTTGTAGTATTGTACATATTTAATATTATTACTATAAGAATATAAGATATCATACGGGATAAGATAGATACATGCTTGTCTTATAGCTTATAGGTGCATTCCGGCATTCGAGTATTGTAGTATGATAGAATAGTTATAGTATATAGACATTAAACTTGTTCTAGTTTGAATACATTTTGAACCGCAGTAATAAATATAAAGTATGGTGGACAAAACATTTTCTGCTGGTAGGTATAAAATAATATATGAGCTCGTTAAAGTTACTAAGAGCATGTTCTTTCTGTATTCGTTATATATATGTTCTTTGTTTTTAAACGTAGGCATAGTGATTCAAACAATTATAGTGCTCAAAATATATCTAACCATAGTCACACGAAAACAATATTTCGCCTATTTTTAGATAACGATGAACTTTTGTCAGAATTATTTTTCGAATATGTAAATATTATGTTGGTGTTAAATTTTAAAATAATAATATCACATAATATGTATTCTACGACACCTCAAATATATTTTCTATAATGGATTACGCTTTTGAATACCTATTCTAATATTATAATAAGATGTTCGATGGTTTTACTGTTTAAGTTACTAGATAATAGAAGATCTATTTCTCCTATAAAATTAAACAATAGATAGTAGTATAGTGCCTATAGCAAATTCGATTAATCGATTAAAATTAATTATTAAAAGTGAAATGTATCAATTTCATATTAAAATTATTTACTTGTTACGACTTCCCTTAACAATTGTAACGCATCTTCTGGTATCTATTATTATACTGTATTCATTATATTACGGAATTATATACGTAATCCAGTTATTGTAAGTATGCAGACGCAGACACAGACTACAACAATACAATTTTATTGTAGAATATTAATGAACATTGTCAGACTAGGATATGTGAAAAATGTAAAAAAACTCGTCATTTCTAGCAATAAATAACTAAGACTGAAGTCTAAAAAAAATAAGTAGCTAAATACAGACGATTTTTTCTTTAGAAATTTATCCATCTCACAGGCTGTATTACTCTAATTTATTACTCTAATATCTTTTTATTAATTGATCATTTTCTATTGATCAATTCAGATACATGCTTATAAATTGTGGGAAGGAGAGGTGAATAGTTCTTGATATAATTTTTTTTTCAACGCATTTGTATATTTGTATACACTTTTGTATGTTTATGATAAGTATTTATGATTTTTTCTTTAAAAATATAATTAATAATATAGATTATAGATATAATATGAGAATACTTACAATTCAAAAATTTTCTCTGTTTAAAAAAGAAATCGAAACTTCTTTGATTCGACATATTACTTTCGTACTATATTTTTATAGCATTTTATATTTCTATATTTAAAAATCAATCGAGTTTAAAAATTATTAAAATTCAAACAACAAAACAAACTTTATTTAAATTATTTAATTATTACATTTCAATATTATAAAATTCAAGAGAATATTTATAAAAGATCACAGAATATTTAAAAAACTAAATAACGATCATATGAAACCAACTCTTTTAAAATGTTTACTTCATCGATGTCGATATTTTTTGCCATAGCGTATCTCAATAAATGTAAACATCTAACTGCCTACATGTCACAGTTTTACAGTGGTACGAAGCTTAATTTCAATTTATACACCTATAGCACTTGCACTATTATAAATTATAATCGAGAACATTTAAGTTGAGCAAAAGTGATAACAAAGTACAAATAAAACACTATAATATTATGTGTGCGTTCTACGTTGTATTAAATTTTCTAAAAATTAATACAATGTTTAAAATGTTGATACTTCTGTTAATAATAATTTCAATTACATTATAATTGATTATTGTCTCTTACTAAAAAATAAATTGTAATATTTATTTTAAAAACTTTTGCTTAAATATATTATTATGTATTACTATTTTTTATTACATATTACATATTAATATATTATTATATCCGAGGAGCACAATTCGTCTGGTCCTAGGCCCAGTTGGCCTAGGCTGCGAAAAATGAAATACGATAATTTTCCTTGGTCTAATCTTGCAAGTTGCGGTGCGTGTGTACGAGTATTTTCCGCCCCAATAACAATTGAATCACAAACTAATGCGTTTAGCTCAAAACGTGAAAATAAACTGTTATGACAGATTCGAACTCAAACTCTTATCTGTCGACCGCGTAACGATTTGAACAAAAATAAACACCTACCAGTGCGTATTTGCGTCACCAACGAATGCCAATTATATGTGCTCCGGGGTTACGTTGTTTAAACCGTAACAACATAGTGTAAAATAATATGATTCAAATTATACATAAAT